GGGCTTTCTATCGTTAGTGAACAATTTCACTATAACTTACTTACCTTTCATTTATGTTTATACTTTTTGTTTTTCAATGATGAGGATCAAGTGTGGTGTGCATGCTAGGCATGTGCTCTACCATTTGAGTGATGCCTCCAGTCCTTTAGGTTTGTTTGTGTGACAAAATTGAGGTCGGAACTCAGGGCCTTTGCAATGGCTTGACTATTTTGCTCAAAGCTGGTAGTGTTGTACTACTAGAGCTACATCTCCATTTCCGGCTTTTTGTTTGTTAATTATAGATAAGAGTCTCAGGCACTTTGCTGCCAGGGCTGGCTTTGAACTGAAAGCCATAGATCTTAGCCTTCTGAGTAACTAGGATTATAGGGTGAGTCACTAGTTTATTGCTTTATTTTATTTATTTATTTATTTTTTGGGTCCAATCGTGGGCCTGAACTCTGGGTCTGGGCACTATCCCTCAGCTCTTTAGCTCAAGGCTAGGGCTCTACCACTTGAGCCACAGTGCCACTTCCAGCTTTTTTCCTTTTTGCTTATGTGGTGCTGGGGAATCAAACCCAGGGCCTCATGCATGCAAGGCAAATGCTCTACCACTGAGCCACCTTCCAGGCCTTGATATAGGATGCTGTTCCCTTGCCTAGGCTGATTCTCCATCTTCCTGCTTCTGCTTCCTAAGTGGCTGTTTACAACCACAGCAGCTAATAATAGTTTGTTGAACAAATAAGTGAGTGCATATGAATTTCAGAGATCTTGTCAAATAACAACAAAAAACGATTATTGTAATGCTTTTATTCCCAATTATATAATTAATAGTGATAATAATACAATAATTTTAGAACTTACCTATATGTAAATGGTGCAGAAATCACCGAATCATGGGAGAAAAGGTGAAATCAGATGTGAGACGTACATAACAAATTAAGGAAAAAGCTGGAAAGTTCTGATTGGTTGGGGCAAGTGACTTAGCCTGAAATTTCAATTTTATACTGTAATGACTGCACTGTCCTGAGGATTGAGAGAAGGTCTCTCATTGTGTTTTAGCTGTAAGATGATCATTAGTGTTGGTGTTACTGATAGTCTTTCTGTTCTTCAGACCAGCCAATCAGATGGCTTTTGTGAAGTCATGTTCTTTGGACCTAGTGAATGATATTTGATAGGAGTTTCAGGGCTTCCTTTTGTTTAGGAAAAACACAAAGATCATCAAATACCCCCTTGGAAGATGCAAATACCTTTTTGTTGTGTGATTAAGCTTCTCCTCTTGGCCTGGTAAATTAAAATTTTCAGCCTTCTGATGGGGCAAAATACTTGAATTTTACTTTATAATGATAACTGAACATAAGGTAATACCTTAGGGTAATTGGAGGGTAAGTATAACCTAGATTGTGGTGCACATTTAGGGAACTAGGAGAGATTCATATTTATGTGGTCCCAGGAGTAACAAAATTCCATAATTTTGATGATTTTGAATACTAAAAGTTTTGATGATTTTGAACCTTTAGTGTTAACAGTGCCTTACTGAAATAAAATGATGGAGTCAAAAGAGGTACAGCCTATATGATATGGATATCCAGAAAATATTGCCTCATATCTCTTCCCATTTGCTCTGTGAAGTAGGGAAAGCTGGTCACAAATTGACTTGATTCAGGTTTTCTTCCATGATACCATCACAGCTCACCAGTAACCTGTAAATTCTTTATTGTTTCCATGTATGAGTTCACATCTTGTGTGTGTGTGTGTGTGTGTGTGTGTGTGTGTGTGCTTGCCAATACTGGGGCTTGAACTTAAGGCCTGATTCCTTAGCTTTTTCACTTAAGGCTGGTGCTCTAACACTTGGGCAACACATCTACTTCTGGTTAACTGGAGATAAAAGTCTGACAGACTATCCTGCCCAGGCTGACTTTGAACCTTGATGCTCAGATCTCAGCCTCCTGTGTAGGTAGGATTGCAGGCCTGCTCAACCACAGCTAACGGTGGCCTCACATTCTACCAAAATAAGTTTTGCATGTGCAGGTAACATTCTGTAAACCATAATAAGCTGGAGATAATTTATAACTTTTTCTTTAAAAAAAGAAATAGCTATTTTTTGGGAGGGTGGGTAAATGGGGAGGGGGTCACCTTGCAACAGTTTCCTCTGATTAATTACTTGCTTTATTAGATTTATGTAGTTCAGATCTTCACTTGATCTCAGCCCATTCTATTTTGTGAGAGTTACAAAATTAATTGTTAAAAACTATGTAAGTGCTTTTTTATTAGTCACAAGAGACTGACTATAGTACAGTGATATGTAAGTTATTTCTAAACTCTTATATTCAAGTAGTGTTTTCTACTTATTTATTTATTGTTGGCACTGAAGCTTGAATTTAAATACCGGGCACTATCCCTTAGCCTTTTTCCTCAAGGCTGGAATTCTACCACTTGAGCCACACCTCCACTGCCAGCTTTTTGCTGTTTAAATTGGAGATAGGAGTCTCTTGGACTTTTCTGCTTGGGCTGGCTTCAAACCTTGAACCTCAGATCTCAGTCTCCTGTACAGCTAGGATTACAGGAGGGAATCTCACCTGCGCTTACTTTTGAAGGAATGTTTAAAACATAATCTCAATACTTAGTATAAATCCACTAAAGGTCTATACAAAATGTGAAAATGTCAGGAGTGCAAGGAATATTAGAAATATCCTAAATCTATTGTGGGAGAATCATCTTCAAATGACAATATGTTTAGAAGAATGTAAGCTGCTGTGGCATGGTCATAAAATTATGGATTTATGCTCAGTTTAGGTATTGCTATTTGTGAGATAAGCAATATAAAATAAGGAAATAAAATAAGATCATATCTGGGCACCAGTGATTTTCTCCTGTAATCTTTGCTACTCAGGATGCTGAAATCTGAGAATTGAGTTTTGAAATAAGCTCAGGCAGGAAAGTTTGGGGGATTCATATCTCCAGTTAACCACAAAAAAGCTGGAAGTGGAGCTGTGGCTCAAGTAGTACAGCACCTTAAGTGAAAAAACTGAAGGGGCGTGCCCAGACTGTAAATTCAAGCTTCAGTACCAGCACCAAAGGGTGCAAAAAAGATTATGATGTTGATTTAATTTGGGGATATGGTGTTCCATGTTCAATAAAGCAAGAACATTTCCCCCTCTAGAATGTTATGTTATCTTAATTACTTTAACTATCTTTGAGGTTTAGATAAGCACAGAGAAAAAAATCAATACCTTATTTATTTAAGCAGACATATTTGGATGGTGAGCATGTCGGCGCTACTGAGTTACTTTTAAAGGTGGAGCTTCAGTAAAGTTATGCAATGAAGAGCTGGAAAAATTTTGTAGTTACACTTTATGCTTTTATTTTGAGAGCCACAACATCATTCTCTGAATAGGTTTAAACATTCATTATATACAAATACTACTTTTGTTATTATTTAAATATGAGATGTTGATCAGGTACCGCTGGCTCATGCTTGTAATCCTAGCTACTCAGGAGGCTGAGATCTGAGGATTGTGGTTCAAAGCCAGCCTGAGTAGCAAGGTCTGTGAGACTTTAGTTCATCACCAAAATGCTGGAAGTGGAGCTGTGCCTCAAGTGGTTGAACACCAACCTTGAGAGAAAAAAAGTAAGGAAAAGCATCCAGATCTTGAGTTCAAGCTTTAGTACCAGCACAGATAAACACACAAATAAATAAAAAGAGATATTTATTTCTCACAGCTCTAGAGGCTGGGAAGTTCAATATCAAGATACCTATATGCAAATATTTAATTTCACATGTGTAAAAGAGAAATAAATTCTCCAATGTACTCTCAGTTTTATTTGAATATATATTTATATATATTCATTTGTCCTATCACTTCTAAGAATGTATATGTAGATACTAGATTTTAGTGGGCAGGGGTTGGGGAGAGGAGACTGGTATAGGAGTTTTGAACTCAAAGTTCTGTGCTAACATGACTTGCTTGCTCAGCTGGCACTCTACTCCTTAAGCCAAGCCTCTAGCTCAGCTTTTGGTTGACTGCACAGCTTTTGGTTGCTAATTTCTGGAGATGAGTTTTGAAATGCTTTTTTTTATTTCCTTGGCTTGCTTAGAACTACAATCCCTGGATCTCAGTTTCCTATGTAGCTAGGATTTTAAGCATGAAGCTACCAGAGCCCAGGGGAATACTAGTTGTTTTTTTTTTTAATCTCTTTTAAATAAAATGTTTTACTTATTTATCTGTCATGTTGGTAAGTGGTTTTGCTTGATTGGGGTTCTTTGAGACAGGATTTCACTGCGTTACCCAGGCTGGGATCTTCTTGTCAGAATAGTCAAGACTAAAGATGCATGCAATCTAGCTGGCTCTTAATATGATAAGAAATAACTTAGGTGGGAATTCAGTTATTTATTTTTTGTGCCAGTCCTGGGGCTTGAACTCTGGGCCTGAGTGCTATCCCTGGGCCTCTTTGTGTTCAGGGCTAGTGCCCTACCACTTGAGCTGAAGCTCCACTTCTGGCCCTTTTTGCAATTTATTGGAGTCTTATGGACTTTCCTCCCTGGGCTGGCTTTGAACCATGATCCTCAAATCTCAGCTTCCTAAGTAGCTAGGATTATAGGCATGAGCCACCTGTGCCTGGCTTCAATTCTTTTTAGGAAATACTTTCCCTTTCTTTTTGTGTGCTAATACTGGGGCTAAAACTGAGGGGCTTGAGCTCTTACTTGGCTTATTTACTCAAGGCTGGCACTTTATCAGCTGAGCTACACTGATACTTCCTTCTTTTTGCTGGTTAATTAGAGATAAGAGTCTTATGGACTTTCCTGCCTTGGCTGGCTTTGGATTGCAATCTTCAGATCTCAGCTTCCTGAGTAGCTAAGATTAGAGGGGGTGAACCACTGTTGCCTCACTAAGCAATAGTTTCTAATATAGAAAATGCTTCTTTAACTGGTGTGAAGTTGTGCAAGTCCCCAGGGACACTGAGACTCTGACAATGTGATCTGTGACTAACCTGTTTTATGCCTTCTGGTGTTTATTTTGCAGGCATTCTGGAGTTTATCAGTATAGCAGTGGGCCTGGTCAGCATTCGAGGCGTGGACAGTGGACTCTACCTCGGGATGAATGAGAAGGGGGAGCTATATGGATCAGTAAGTACCAGAACAGACAATTTCCATGTTCCATGTTTGATTTGAACTGCAGTCCTCTTCCCTTCTCTTCCTTGCTCTGCTCTTTCCTTCCCGCCCTCCCTTCCCTCCCTCCTTTCCTTCCTTCCTTCCTTCCTTCCTTCTTCCTCCTCCTCCTTCTTCCTCCTCCTCTCCTTCCTCCTCTCCTTTCCCTTCCCCTTCCCTCCTTCCTCCTCCTCTTCTTCCTCCTCCTCCTCCCTTCTCCTGCAGCTCCTCATCCTCTTCCTTCTCCTCCTTCTTTTCCTATTCTTTTCTTCCTCTTGCCCCCTTCTCTTCTTTCTTTTTTGGTGCTAGTACTGGGGCTTGAAGTTAGGCTTTTGCTTGGCTTTTTTGCTCAAGGCTGATACCTTATTCCTTGGGCCACACCTCTACTTCCAGCTTTTTGTTGGTTAACTGGAGATACATTTCTCATAAACTTTCCTTCCTGGGCTGGCTTCAAAGTGGGATCCTCAGGTCTCAGCTTTCTGAGTAGCTAGGATTACAGGCATAAGGCACCAGTGCCTAGCTCTTAAACTGCATTTAGGGCTGGCAATAAAACCGAGTCAGTCTGGAAAGGCAAATGTTAAGTTTTTACTTTTCAAAGCAAGCAAGCCATTTCATTTTTATTAATAGAACCTCAGTTCTGCATTTTCACTAGACCAAAGTCGTTAAGAAAATGGTTTATTTATATGCCAAACCATCTTCATTATCAAGTAAATAAAAAATTCACCAGTGTGAAAAAAATCCCCATCTTTTTGTATTGAATGAGAGTTATTTTTGAAATGAATCAAAATGATCTCCCAAGCTTTGCCAAGCATTGTAATTAAAACTAGAAATAGACCATGCAGTGAGTCTAAATCACTTTTTCTAAATGACACAAGATTTTTCATTATGCAGGGAGGGAAGGGAGATGGAAATTATTGTCAGATATTCTTGTATGCGAATAAGGATATAGCAGCATTGTAATTATTTGCTATCATGCTGATTTTTTTCCCCCTTCTATCTAACTTCCCATCCCCACGAAGTTGGGAAGTCCTTAGGTTAAACATTGACAGAGCATTTATGCTGCCTGGCCAGGTTTCAGGCATGGTGGTAGATGCTGTGCTGTATTTGTGAATGGGATAAAGTCTATTCCTGTTCTCCAAGGAAGTGAGAGGTTTACACTTTCACCTGTCTTTGCTTCTAGGAGTGCAGTGTTCAAATCACACTGCATGAGACACAGTACAGATAGACAATGCTTGCTAAATTATTAGGCAAATAATTAGTATATACTGTGGACCCTTCGTATGCACAAGTAAATAAATGTCTCTCAGCAGGCAGCCATTGTGGATAAAAGCAGGATACATGGCATTCAGAGCTTTGTGTACTTCATATATATATATATATATATATTGCCACTACTGCTGCTGCTTTCTCTTTCTCCTCCTCCTCTTTCTCTTCCTCCTCTTTCTCCTCCTCCTCCTCCTCCTCTTCCTCCTCTTCCTCCTCCTCTTCCTCTTCCTCCTCCTTCTTCTTCTTTGGTCAGTTGTGGGTCTTGGACTCTGGGCCTTGATGCTGTCCCTCAGCTCTTTAGCTCAAGGCTGGCACTCTACCACTTGAGCCACAGAGCCATTTCCAGTTTTCTGGTAGTTTATTGGAGATAAGAGTCTTACTGACTTTCCTGCTTGGGCTGGCTTTGAAAGTGTGATCCTCAGATCTCTGCCTCCTGAGTAGCTGGGATTACAGTGGCAGTGACACCCAGCCCTAAGCTTCTTGTTACTCAAGGCTAGCACTGTACAACTTGAGTCACAGCTCTACTTCTGGCTTTTTGTGGTTAATTGCAGATAAGTGTCTCATGGACTTTCTTACTCTTCTAGCTTCAAACTGTGATCCTCAGCTCTCAGCCTCCTGAGCCACTGGTACCCAACCTTGATTAATTTTTCTTATAACATCACTCAATCCTTGCTAAAGACATACTGCTTCAAAAAGATCTGTTTCCCTGCTCAGTTCCTTAAACTAAACACAAAAGCTTTCACCTTGGTTTTTTTTTGGGAGGGGGGGAGGCGGGGACCATTTGCTTTTTGGGAGATATACTTTCCTCCCAAAATTAAGGGCAGGGAATACTCAGCAGGTCATACAACATTTTAAATTCAACAGCTGATAAGTGTGGGGACTAGAAGTTTTTTTTTCCACACCCACTGTGTTGTGTAATGTGTGTGCAAGAATTTAAATGTTTTCTTTTAAAATTTTGTATGGTTCAAAAGTATTTATTATTCATTTTTTTCTTTTTTATGGTTCTTGGTTAAAACCACGTGAAATAAGCATGTGAATAAGGAAAGCTTATTGTGTTAATGTGTTCAAACAGTAGAATTTGTAATGAAATTAACTTCAGATTTTTATTATCATTATTGGCAGTCATGTGAAAATTTAATCCATGTTATCTACAAAATGAGAACTTTGATTTAAGCCTACAGAATGTTCAAAACAAAAAGATTAGACTGGGAAAAGTTCTGGAGTTTTCAGTTGGTAGATATATAAAGCAAAAAGTTTTCTAGCTGTTTTCCTTTCTTATCCATATAGTAGTTTAAAAAAAATATACACATGAGCTCTAGGCACTGGTGGCTCATGCCTGTAATCCTAGCTACTCAGGAGGCTGAGATCTGAGGATGGCAGTTCAAAGCCAGCTGGGGCAGAAAAGTGCCCATGAGACTTTTATTGCCAATAAACTACTCAAAAAAGCTGAAAGTGATGCTGTGGCTCATGTGGGAGGGCACTAGCCTTGGACACAAAGAGACTCAGACTCAGGGACAGTGCCCAGACCCTGAGTTCAAGCCCCAGGACTAGCAAACACACACACACACACACACACACACACACACACATACAGTACAGTTGCACTCAACTATTTCAAGTGACAGGAAAAAGATAGCTTGTTTAATCTGAATATAAAATACAACATTGGTAGGCACTGGTGGCTTATGCCTGTAATTCTAGCTTTTCAGGAGGTTGAGATCTAGAGGATTGAGGTTTGAAGTCAGCCCCAGTCTTTCTGACTGTGAGACTCTACTCCAAAATAACCAGCAAAAAGCAGAGCTGGAAGTGTGGGTCAAATGGTAAAGTGCCAATGGTGAGCATGAAAACTGAGGCCCCAGAGTTCTAACATCAATATCAATGAACAAGAAAAACAAAAAGATTGCTGTTTTTTTTTTTTCCTTTCCTATGCTAGGGTTTGAATTTGGCCTGTACTTACTCAGCTCGCTTGCTCATGGTGGATGCACTACCACTTATACCATGCCTCCAGCCGTGATACTTTTTGCTGGTTCTTTTGGAAATGGAGTATAGTGAGCTTTCCTGCCCTGGTTGGCTTCAATCCAGGGCAGATCTTCTGGATCTCAGCCTCCCAAGTAACTAGGATTACAGAGGTGAGCCAGTGGCATTAGGCTAAGACAGCATTTTTTTTTCTCTCTACTCAACATGTTCATGATATGTACAATGCTTCTTGATCACTTCTGTCATTCATCTCCCTCACCCATCCCAGACGCACCCTGAAGTTTTCTAGTTCCATTTCACATATGTACATTGAGTGTTAGGAGCATATTCACCCCTTGTTCCTCTTTCCTTCAACTACCCACCTCCCTTTGTTACCCCCCTCATCCCCTCAGGCAAGGTATGGTTCAACTTCCTAGTAGTCATCTAGTTAAAATGCTTGTTAATTATACCAGGGACCTATAGTGTGGAAATCTACTCCTTCATATTACCATGGTCAGTTTTGTTGTGCGTATATGCAGATGGCCCTGTATGTGTTAGCATATATGTCTATTTTAGATCTAACTTCCACATATGAAAGAAAACATGTACCCTTTGTCTTTCTGTGCCTAATTTATTTCACTCAACATGATTTTTTTCCAGAGCCTTCCATTTCCATGTAAATAACCTATTATTCTTCCTAATGGATGAATAAAATTCCATTACGTGTTTATACATATTATGCATATACATGTCATATGTTTACATATTATATGAACCATATATCTATATGTAATACCTAGTATAATATATGTGTGTATATATAATATCACATTTTTGATCCATAGTTTCATGTAGGGCATCTGGGCTGTTTCCATAACTTGGCTATGGTAAATAGTGCCTCAGTGAACGTGGATGTACAGATGTCTTTACTGTATCTTAACTTGCAATCTTTTAAATAATTATCCAGGCAGTATGACTGGATCAGAGTCATTCTATGTTTAGATTTTTTGAGGAATCTCTGTACTACTGCCTTCCATACTAGTAGCATTAATTCACATTCCCATGAACAGGGGAATAGATTCCCCCAATCCCCAGTCCACCATTTGTTGTTTTGTATTCTTGATGATAGTCATTCTGACTGGAATGAGGTGGGATTCCTATGCTGTTTTGATTCACATTCCCTTTATGCCTAAGGAGGTAAAAGTCTGTGAGTTTTGGTGTTTTTTTTTTTTTTTTTTGGTTGTGGGCTTAAAGTCAAGGCCTAAATGCTGTCCCTGAGCTTTGTGGCTCAAGGCTAGTGCTCTACCACTTTGAGCCAAGCTCCACTTCTGATTTTGTGGTGATTAATGGGAGATAGTCTCACATACTTTCCTGCCCTGGCTTGTTTTGAATTGTGATCCTCAAATCTCAGTCTCCTGAGTAGTTAGAATTACAGGCATAAGCCACTAGTGCTTGGCTAGAAATGTGTGTGTGTGTGTGTGTGTGTGTGTGTGTAAGTTGTGGGGCTTGAAATCAGGGCCTGGGTGCTGTCCCTGAGCCTCTTTGTGCTTAAGGCTAATGCACTACCACTTGAGCCACAGCACCACTTCAGTTTTTGAGTGATTAATTAAAGAGTTTCATGGGGATTTTTCTGCCTGGGCTGGCTTCAAATTACAATCCTCAGATCTCACTCAGCCTTTTTAGTAGCTAGAATTACAGGTATGAGCCACCAGCACTCAGCAGATTATTATTTTTTTAAGTGGAAGGATGGACTTTTT